GAGGAAGAGAGGGAGGGAGGGAGGGAGGGAGGGAGGGAGGGGGGAGGGAGGGGTGAAAAGGAGGAGGAGGGCAGGAATGAAAGGGGGGAAGGAGGGAGGGAGTGAAAGGGTGGGGGAGGGAGGGAGGGAGGGAGGGAAGAAGAGTTTATTTTAGCTTAAAATTTGAGAGTACAGTCCCTCTCAGCAGGAAGGCCTGTGGCCAGACCATGAGAAGGCTGCTCACACATCATCCATAGCCAGGAAACAGTGAGAGATAAGCCCAGGTGGACCAGTTGCTTTCTCCTGTGTACTCATTCCAGGACCCCAGCAAGTAGGATAGTAGTACTACCCACAGGAGGATCAGAAGTTCAAGGCCACCCTTAGCTACAAAGAAAGGTTGAGACCAGTCTGGGCCACAGGAGATTGTGTCTTGACAAGTAAAGAAGGAAAGAGAAAAGAAAAGAAAAGTGAAGAAAAGAAGAAAAAGGAGGGAAAGAAGGAAAAACTAGAGAATGGTCCTCAAATCTCTGAAGGAACAAACATCAGAAATGAACCACTAGAAAGGCTTTGAGAATGTAGGGCAGTTCTTTTGGTTCTATGGTAGAGCCCTTTAGAAATCTCATGATACTAACTGGAGAAATCAATATGTAATCCTTCAACTTAGAAGCGTACAAAGGCCAGAAGAACGTCTCAGAGGTCAGAGAGAACAGGACCAGCTACTGTGATGGAAGGAGTTCAGGGCGTTTGTGGGGGTGGCGTGGGAGTTAGAACGGACCAGCGTTCCCAGAGTTTCTTGGAGGAAAGGCTGTTTGCTCTGTGGTAGATGTGACAGGTGAAGGATTGGACGTCAGCTATGTAAGTGCTGATAGCAGACCATTCTCAGCCATCAGCTCCACCCGCTAAGGAGAGTGGATGACTAGCTTAAGTGAACCTTTGAAGTCCTAGTCCTCAAATAACTTAGGACAACTCCACAGGGTCGTCCCAGCTTCGAAATCCCTGCAGGGTGGGCTGAGGTCCTAGTTGGGAATGCTGTACAGGGTAACCTCGCACCGATTCCATAGCCTTGCCCCAGGTACCTACCCAGAATTCCTGGTAGACATCTTGCTTGGTTATCTACATCTCAGAGCTGGTTTCCCAAGAGTCCCTGTGATGTCTGTGGATCAGATGAAACTCTATAGTCAAGTGAGCCACCGAAGACTAGGGATGCTACAATGCCACTAGATTGCTTGCAGCTGGGAAAGGACTAAGCAAGAACTGGAATAAAATTACAACCCCCATAGGCAAGGGAACTCCCAAGGATGAAGATGATGGCAGAGAGAGAATGGCTGGCATTCGGAGAATTTTCAAGACTGCCTAAGAAGAAAAGGGCAAGTATAAAGATCACCAGCACCCGACTCACAGCCGTGTGAGTTAAAGCCACTCCTGACCTTTTTGTCCTCTCTAACCTGAAGTACCAATCTGGGATGCGTAGGAAGATAAGTCAGCGGACCAAGGGCAACTTGGAACAGAATTTTTAAAAGCTAGCAAGTGTTGTTTGATGGGCACGGCTCACGACAGACCACACTAGGCCAAATGGTTCCACAGGAGGTTTATTCAGGAGATAAGGGCAAAGGTGACGGCAAGAAGAGGGGGAAGAGAGAGAGAGGGGTCAGGGGGCTCTGCTTATTTATATAGATAATGACTTAGTCTCTCGCAGGTAAAAGTAGGACTTGAACCAAGTAGATTCTGGGAATGTGTGGTGGTTGCCTTGACAACAGATGTAGGGGTCGCCTAGATGTGATGTCACTGGGTTCGGAGCCAGTCCTGATACTAACAGCAAGTGTTCCCTTCCTGCAAACCCTGTAATTACAATTTCTTTCCTTCTAAAATAGGGTCCCCAGCGTCCTTGTTGCCAGGCATTATAAAACCTGAGCTTATCAAAGGATGATTTCAGAGTTGGGGAGAGGGTTCAAGAGGTGACACTTCGAAGTTCTTTCCTGGCTGGCATGTAATAATCCGGAGAGACACATTAGGCACAGAACTGCTCTAGAAAGGAGCCCCTTAGTCAGGAACCACAGAAACAGCTGCGACGGACCAGAGGCAGATGGGTGTGTGATCTATTCCCGCTTACTGAGACTAAGCTCACGCAGAAGAAGCGGAGCTTGTAGGCTTGGGCCTATTCTGGAACCTTCTTTTCTGGATTTCCCGAGCCTACCTCTTCTCCTGGTCCCGCCCAGCTTGCCCAGCTCAGTCCTGCCGCCTGTTCCTGCAAAGCAAGTTCTCAGGCCCACCAGCTCCATGATACCCATTCCTCTGTTCCCGAGTCTCATTTCTTGCAACCCTCCCTAGTCCAGCTTCTCTCTTGGTCTCATTCGGAAGAGCACGCCCCACTTATCCGGCCACGCCCCTGGAACCTGACTCCGCCCCACTGGACTCCCCTTTTACCTCCTGGCCACGCCCCCTCTCGCTACCCAGCCAGGACCCTCTCTCCGACTCTCTGACTCTGATTCGCTTTCCTCTGCTGCTGCCTTACGCCCCACTTACCTGGTTACGCCCCTAAAATCTGTTCTGACTCTCTCTGGGCACAGCTCTTCTCACCTGACCACGCCTCCTCTCGCTGCTACGTCCCACCCCTCTCTGGTAGCCCTAACATCCCCAGCTTGTTCGGCCACGCCCCGAAAGTATGGCTCCGCCCCTTCTCAGGACGGCCACTCTTCTTCAACACCACGCCCCTCTAGTTGCCACGTTACGCCCTTCTCCCCAAACGCCAGGCTCGGCTCATTTACCGCCCTGCTCTTCTCTCCAGACTCCGCCCTCTCCACTGCTGCACCCCGCCCCACCACTTCGGCCCCGCCCCAAAGGCCTGGCCACGCCCCGGCCACAGCCCTGCTCCTGGCCGCACGCCTCCCTGATTTTGGTTTCTCGTCGCCGCGCTCCGCCCCTCTTGACTGGCCCCGCCTCATGGCCCCACCTCCTCCTGGCACCAAGCAGGCTCCCAGCCTCAGCCAGCCGCGGGCATCATGGGCACAGCCTCGTCGCTGGTGAGTCCCGCTGGCGGGGAGGTGATCGAGGACACGTACGGGGCAGGCGGCGGCGAGGCCTGCGAGATCCCGGTGGAAGTGAAGCCCAAGGCCCGCCTGCTGCGTAGCTCTTTTCGCAGGGGCGCGGGAGCGGGGCCCGGGTCGCTGCCTCGCGCGGCGGGGGGCGGCGGGCTGCTGGGCGCCAGCTTCAAGTCCACCGGCTCGTCTGTGCCCGAGCTAGAGTACGCGGCGGCCGAGTTCGAGCGGCTCAAGAAAGAGTATGAGATCTTCCGGGTCAGCAAGAACCAGGAGTTGTTGTCCATGGGCCGCCGAGAGGCCAAGCTGGACACGGAAAACAAGCGGCTGAGAGCGGAGCTGCAGGTAACGCGGGACCGAGCGCGCCGTAAGCGGGAGGCTCTGAGGAAACTGAGACCCGAGCGCGCCGCTCAGCCGCTTGGTGGCACCACCATCCTATCCCAGATACAAACCAAGTTGTTTTCTAAATTGTATAGAAACTGCTCCTCCTTCGTGAGGAATCGTTATTTGAGTCTAAATTTCTTATCAGCATCTTTCCCCACCCTTTTCTGTTTCCGGTTCGTTCATTAAGACACGTTGAATCAACCCAAATCCTGAAGCCACAAAATTTCTCAGAGCAACTTCACACAACTCCTCCCAGTTTAAGGTATCTCCAAGTTGGAGCTCTTGGCTCAGTTTCTTCGCGAAGTTCTGCAAATTCTAGGGTTTAATGATATGATAGGAATTTTTCTGGAAACCTCATGATTTCATAGTTTTTTAACTGTTGTGATTGAAAATCTTCCCTGAGAGTACTCAAACTCCCTTAGTCCGTTTAGTTAATGGATTCAACAGTTACTGGAGTGCTGTTGTAGGCCTTATAACAGATCACCTTTGATTCATTCAGTTACTAGGTAAAGCAGAATTTCTCAGAGCAAAAAATGTGGGACTAAACCATGGGCTCAGAGCCTCTCTGGTGGTCATTTGTTTATGCCTTTCTTTTCTGTGGGAGGGATCTCTGACAGCCCAAGAGCTCCTGGCCGGTCGAAGTAGGACTTCAATAAACGGCACAGATTTTTGTAAAAGAGGGCTCCTTCCTTCTAGTCCGGCATCTTTCCCATCAGCTATGAAACCCTTCAGTTATCTGCTGTGCTATTAGCGTATTAAATGGGAAGCTGTTCTCACCCACAGCTCCCTGCTGGCCTCACTTTCCACTGGGAGGCCAATGTGCTTGCCCCTATAAAATGACTTGTGGTTCCCTCCTGTCTGATTGCATGTGTGTATACCACTGCCCACTTAAGAACCACGTGAGGTGGCAGGTAGAAGGAGAGCGGGCGATAGCAAACTAAAGAGGCCAGGGCAGGAAGGACTGACAGACAGATGTCACAGATCACAAATCAGCAATTCCAATTCCTTGTAAAACCTCTTGTTCCTTTCTTACTCCCCCACATTTATTTTTACTGAAGACCTGCTAGAGATCCAGACTGCGACTGGCTCAGGAGATAAGATGATTAATATATAATGCCAAGGAGGACAGACATCTTCATACGTACCATTCTTCACGCTAAGCCTTTCAAATTACATGTCTTATTCTCTTAGGAACACGAGGCATAGAAAAATCCTGGAGCTGGTGCAGTATTTCAATGAAAAAGCATTAATTTCCATTGAAAGCTCATTGCTGAAGAACCTGTTTACTAGGATTCAAAGACGTTTGCATTTTTTTTCTATTTTGCTTGACATAATTGACAACATAGAAGTGTTTGATAATTGATAAAATAGTGAGTAGACGGTAGAGGTCTCAACATGTGTAAACATATATGTAAGAATTTAAAATTCAAATGAAAGGCTGTTTTTGTTGGGAGATAACAAGGTGCATCGCTGCAGGCACTTCAGAAAACTTACCAGAAGATACTTCGGGAAAAAGAGGGTGCATTAGAAGCAAAATACCAAGCCATGGAGAGAGCGGTCACGTTTGAACATGACAGAGACAGAGTTAAAAGGCAATTCAAGGTAAATTCTTGTTATTTCTCTCCCCCCCCCCAACCCTTCCCCAAGTGACATAGATTAAAAGCTAGTTTTCAAACGTTTTTTGAGCCAGGTGTGGTGGCAGGACTCTGGATGCAGAAGCAGACAGATCTCTGTGAGTTTGAGGCCACCCTCTACATAGTGAGTTCTAGGACAGTCAGAACTACATAATGAGACCCTGTCTTTTTTGTTGTTGTTTTCGAGATAGGGTTTCTCTGTTTAGCCCTGGCTGTCCTGGAACTCACTCTGTAGACCAGGCTGGGCTCGAACTCAGAAATCCGCCTGCCTCTGCCTCCCAAGTGCTGGGATTAAAGGCATGCGCCACTACTGCCTGGCGAGACCCTGTCTTGAGGAAGAAAAAAAAAAGCAACCAAAAAAGAAAAAATTTCCATCTGATATCAGGTGGAACATAGATAAATCAAGTAACACCGGCGAAGGTCATAGAGCTAAACCTATGAAGTGTTTGGAAATGTTTGGGGATATTTTGTTTGGGATTTGGAATGAGGGAAACAAATGTGTTGTGTGTCACACACACCCATGCTGTCAGACTTCCAGCTCACTCCATTGTGAACAATAAAATGAGGGTCTGGAGAAGTCTTTCTGTTACAAATGAGAAGACTGAGAACCAAGTGGACCTTGACTTTAGGAATAAATGTCCTCCCCTCCCCAAAAACTTGGTGGTGCGACTTTGGGATTATAGAAAAAAAGTTTCAAAATTAAATTCTACCTTTCAAAAAGATTTTTAGGGAGACCAAAGAAAATGAAATTCAGGACTTACTGAGGGCCAAGCGAGAGCTGGAGAGCAAACTTCAGAGGCTGCAGGCTCAGGGTATCCAAGTGTTTGACCCTGGGGAGTCTGACTCAGATGACAACTGCACAGATGTCACGGGTAAGCTCACTTCATGTTCACTGTCCTCAGAGCAGTGGTGATGTTCAGGATGGCCAGTAGTCCTTTTGCTCTCTGTGTGCAGGATTAGTGCTTATTCTGTCCTTACAGATAGGGGGACCTTTCAGTGTCTCTCTCAGCAGTCAGGACCTCCTGTCCTTGATATGTATGATGTCAGGAGCTATGTTTTCTCTTGTCATCATATTCTGCCATCCATCCTAGCCCATGGCGTGCATGCATGCTCATGTGTGCATGTGTGCACTCTTTCTCTGTCCCTCTCTGTCTCTCTCTGTGTCTCTCTGTCTCTCTCTGTCTCTCTCTCTCTGTCTCTGTCTCCCTCTATCTCTGCACACCCCCACACTCCAGCCTATTGGAGATCAATCTGCATTTTTCTCCAAAGGAAAAAAGAAGGTAGAGTATGTAAGTTGTTTTTCTTGTTGCTGTGACAAAGTGCCTAGCAACAAACTACTTAGGAAGGAGGGTCTCCTTTCTGCTCATGGTTCAAAGGCCACAACCCATCACTGCCAGGATGTCACAGCAGCAAGAGCATGCAGCAGCTGATCGAATTTCCCTCACAGTTAGGAGTCACAGAGCGATGGATCCTGTGATCAGCTTGCTTTCTCCTTTCCTCCCAACCTGCCCTGGAACCGGCACCTTTAGGGTGGGTCTTGCCACCTCAACTAACCTACTCTAGATGATCTCTGTCAATTTAACAATCAAGATTAACCTGCAAGGTGTCCACGGGGTAAGAGGCGCTTTCACCCAGGACTGATGACCTGAGTTCTATCCTGGGCCCCCACAAAGTTGCAGGAGGCAGCTGATTCCTGAAGCCGTCCTCTGACCTCCACACACAGGCAACAGCATGACCATGCCTGTGTGCATGCACATGCACTCACACACGTTTGGAAAACTATTTAAAAAGAAAAAAATAACATCACAGGTAGACGCCTTGCTTTTCCTGAAGGCACAACCTGAAATACTGTCACCTCTGCTCACATGGCTCTGGCCAAGGCCAGACCTAGACTGGAAATTATAATCAGTAGACAAGCAGACATGTGTCAGCTAAAGTGGGAAGGGGAGCTAGGCATCCTGCAGTTACATTCTCCACAGATTGCTTCCTATATAGTGATGTAGTCTTTGCAACTTTGTATAACACCTGTATTGTGGTCTCACCATTTCCAAAGTAGTTCTGTGAGTCACTCAAAAAGCTTTGGTTTTATAATAAGCACATAAAACATTTTTCTATTGTTAAAATTGATTTTAAAAAAACACAGAATCAAAGGCATTTCCTATGTTTCAAGAAAAAAATCAACTGTGATTAATATCAAGTAAAGGAAACGCTTCTTGTAGGTATAAGGAGAAAATGCTGTGAGCCTCCTACTTATAAGGGTTGTGTTATAGTCTTACAAAGTGTTGTGTTTGGGAGTAAGATACAGTAATTGGCAGTTCCTTTCTAGTTTGTATCATATTCCCATTGCATTGTGGTCAGCATCCTGGGACTCTTACTACTAACTTTTGAGAAAAAGATGCAATGATTCTGACTGGCCAAGAGCAGCTGGGAAATTCCCTCCTGCTGTCACATTAGCCGCACTGATTGCTTCCATGTAGGTTGTTCAGATGTACAGTGTATCAAAGCTACCGTAGTTGTCTTGGCAAGTTATCAGAAACAAGTTAATGTTCCCTTTTGGTCTTTCTCCTTGGTACATTGATTTAAACCTGAAGAACACAAGGTATCAGTGCCCTGCTGAGAGGCTACCTTCAAAGTCCCTTCATAAACTGAGCAGAATGGCATCCCCTGTTAATCTCAGCCACCAGGAGGCAAAGGCAGGTAGATGTCTGTACATTTGAGGCCAGCCTAGTCTATATAGTGAGTTCCAGGACAGCCAGGGCTAAGTCTCATGAAAAAAAAGTTCCTTCACGTTTAATTGATGTATAAATGTCCAATTGCAAGTAGATTTTTAGAATTGTTTGTAGTGTCTTTAAAGTCCCTCTTTTTTTATTACATTTATTAATTTATTTATTTTGTGTATATGTATGTGTGTGCATGTAGGTAGTGTGCATGTTAGAAGATACTCTGTGAGAAGCAATTCTCTCCTTCTACCAATTGCACTCCAGGTTTTGGACTCAGGCAGGTCCTGAGGCTTGGTGGCAAGCCCTTTTACATGCTAAGCCATCTTGCTGGCCCTGAACTGGCTTTTACTAAAACCCTTTGTTTCTTAGATGATGACCAGGATTGTGTTAACCAGAGCTGAAGTGCTCTGCCAAAAGTCAGTGCCAAAATGTTTTAAAAACCATTATTTCAAGGCTTATTATATTTATAAATAGTGTATCTTGATGTGAGGACTCCCAATTTGACATATGTGGAGAGTTTTTAAACATTTGGTGACTTGGTTTTAATGAAATTCCAATTCCTCGTTGCAAACAGCTGCCGGAACCCAGTGTGAATACTGGGCCAGCAGGGCCCTGGGCAGCGAGCATTCCATAGGCAGCATGATCCAGCTTCAGCAGTCCTTCAGAGGCCCCGAGTTTGCCCACAGTTCTATAGATGTGGAAGGACCGTTTGCAAACATCAACCGAGGTAACCAATCCCTTGCCTGGTGGTTGTGACTGCTTATGTTCTGAAGTCTTGTGCAACAAAGTGTGACATTAGTGTTCTGGAACATTCCATTGGCAAGCCAGCATGCACAGAGATGGTGACTGACCAAGTTGAGGTGACATCCTTCTCATCAGGATAACATGGTTCTCCTGCCGTCCTGCCCACCCAGGTTCTAGCAGCTGCTTGATTCTCTGAATTTGTAGGTGATTTTTTTGAGCCACAGGGGTATGATGTAGCATAATTGATGTTACTGAAAAGCCATGCTATAAAGCAAAATACAAACAGGCCTGCTAGTCAATGAAAGAGTGTGTCCACCATGTTAGTATTACCCAGTGCTGCCAAAGCACTGAGCTGTTCAGAACCGCACAATCATTGCAGCCCCAAGAACCTATGAGTAGCTCTACTCTTATTCCTTAAAACAGTAAAATTGTTTCACTGGAACAATGCAAATTATTTTTATATTGTGTTCTTGATTGCCAGCGAGTTCACAATTTTTCCCTCTGACTAAGCAGCCTGAAACCACTTTTCACTTTACGCCCTTCTCAAACTCTGTGCCTCACTGGATGCCAGAACGAGAGGGCAAAATGACGTGTCACCTTGAGAATGCAGACTCCCTGCAAATAGAGCAAAGCAGATTCAGGGCCACTGCCCTGGGGATCCATTGGTCTCCAGGGGAGACCACTAGTGACATTCATTGCCTGAAATCCCAGAAGAGAATGTGAGGCTAGAAATTAATTACTTTCTAAAATGTTCTTCTAGCTTTGTCGGTAGTAACACATGACTGTCTATGTCTGTTTAGGCTTCCCCATCCTCCCCACCCCACCCCCGCCTCAAGACTCACTTGGAATTATTTTGTCAGTTTCATTCTGGTACATTTCTCGTGAATTTATGGGAATTTTGCTTCCAGATGACTGGGACGCTGCCGTGGCTGGTTTGTTACAGGCCACCCCCTTGTTCTCACACTCCCTGTGGAGTCACCCTGTCAGATGTTACCTCATCTATACAGACGAAACTCAGCCCGAAATGGAACTTTTCCTTAAGGTAAGAATATTCATAAATTGTGTATTCACTCATTGAAAAGGCAAAGCCTGGAGCTGGGAGGACGGCTCAGGAGTTAAGACCTCTGGCTGCTCTTGCAGAGGCCCCAGATTTGTTCCCCAGCACCTATATGCTGGCTCACACCTGGCTGTAATTCCTATTCCAGGGGCTTAGATGCCCTCTTCTATGCTCTGTGGGCATCCGGGCATGCACAGAGTACACATGCACACATGTAGGCAAAATACCCATATGCATAAAGTAAAATTAAGTAAATCTGTTTTAAGAAAGACAGAAAAGGAAATACAAGTTAGTAGCTGGGGTGGCACATATCTGTAATCCCAGCACTCAGAAGACAGAGGCAAGAGGACTATACTGAGTTTGAGGCTAGCCTGAACTATAGAGTGGCATCCTATCTCAAAACAAACAAAATACAAATTAGAATATTATTCAGACTATAGTTGCATTTAAACTAAGTAGCTTGGTATTTATGAGATTATCCATCTTAAAAAAACAGAAAACATTAGGTTTTGCTTATGACACAGTTTGGGCCAGTATTCATGTGTGGAAGGGCAGACATTGTGTTACGACTCTTAGTTTTTGTTTAACTTTCCCCTGAAACAAGGACAGGGGCTCGCCATGATGATGAGACTAGCTTTGGGACGTTAGGGCTTTTCTTCTTTTCATTTAGTTTCATACCTAAAATATATCATTAAGATGCCATTATCTTTGTGGTATACACCTTTAATCCAGCACTCAGGAGGCAAAGACAGGCAAATCTCTGTGAGTTCAAGGCCAGCCTGGTCTACACAGCAAGTTCCAGGGCAGCCAGGCTGTTATACAGAGAAACCGTCTTGAAAAACCAAGGGAAAAAAAAACCAACGTCTTAATGTAAAAGTAGAAAATATAGCTAAAAACTTATATAGTAAAATGGCCTTATCTATATTTCATTAACTATTCTTTGCAGGGTTTGTGTCCTTCATTAGCTGGGTCTGATTTAGTTGCTGTCCTTAAATCTATTTCAGATAACACCAAAGTTAATCCTTATCACGACTTTGAACATCTCAAGGCATCCCATGGAGTTATTCTAAAGGCTGTGGCCACTTCTGGCTTGCTACCTGTTTTCACGTGGCCCAGAGCTCAGATTTGTTTTTATATTTTAAATTATTGGGAAGAGAAAATATAAGACTTGCATTATGTGAAAATTATATGAAATCCACACCTTATTATCTATTTTCAAAAAGTGTTATTGGAACATGCCCAGGGGTGTGTGTGTGTGTGTGTGTATGTGTGTGTAAGAGAGAGAGAGATCCATCTATTGCTGTGCTACAAAATGAGTTAATTGGAACAAAAACCAAAGAGATTTTAAAAGCCTCTGTTGAAACAGTTGAATTATTAAACATTATTATTTTTGTAAAAATATTTGCCGCCTGACCTTTTGTAGGAGAAATCTGTATACCACTAATGTCGCAAGTGAACTTTAAATGTATCTGCCCGCCCCAGAAGAAACCCACTGAATTCAGTCCACAAATTGTTAATAGATGCACTTAGCATTCCTTTGTAATATTATTCAACCTTGGTAAGATATTAAAATATTTTAAATCTCAAAGCTTCCATCTCATAATTGGATATAGGTGACTCCCAAGGACAATTAGAGGCTTCTCACTAATTGTTTGCATAAAAATCATTATTTAGTAATATACTTTGTCATAGACCAATATTTTTTCATTAAGAGTTTTTTAATTTTTTATGTTTCTAGAAATGAAATCTAGGGCTTTTCATTTGGTAGGCAAGCCCACTCGTGTGGAAGCTACATTTCCTAGCTAAAAGCACCACACACTAACATGCATGCGCACACACACACACACATGCACCCACACATACACACACATATACACACACCCACACACGCACGGATATATACTTGGATCCTTTAAGACAAGAAAACAAATTATCCATGATATAAATAACAAGAAATATCAAATCAAACTAACCTAATACTTTCTTCTGTTGTTCAATTGTGAAATAAATCATCTTCTGAGCTAGAAAATAGCCATCTGGTTAAGCTATCATTTTTGTTCTAGAGAGAAATTTACTTTATCTAGGATTTTCTTTAACATGTGATTATCTTAATTTTTTTTGTATTAGAATACAGCTATAGAGACTGTTCTAAAGATGCCTTTTAAGTGATAAGATCCTCTCTATCTTTAGCTAAATATGTCATGCACATATATATTTTAACTCATTTTTAGGACCATTCACCTAAACTTAAAAGGATGTGTGAGACAATGGGATATTTCTTCCATGCTGTTTATTTTCCAATAGATGTTGAAAATCAGTACCTCACTGTAAGAAAATGGGAAATTGAGAAGAGTTCTTTAGTTATTTTATTCCTTCATTCAACATTACCAAGGTAAGCCAAAAAATATTTCTAATTCATCGTTCACATCAGCTGTAAAGAGATTACTAACAAGTGAACTTCAAAGATAAGTCCTAATTCCATTCTCATAGTTAAAAACAGTGTGTGAAATCTAATAAACTTCATAACGACCTCACACCTAAATAAAAAAATATAAAGTTTTATACCATCAGACCTATCAGTATCATTAATATGAAGACTGTTTTGGTCAGCAGTTGACAAATAGTGACCCAGGGCCAAACGCTGCCAGGTATCAGCTTTTTGTAAATAAAGTTTTATTGGAACATGTAGCGATACTTTTTGAGAATTTGGGAATTAGGGTTTCTTTTCAAAAAAGAAAACACAGAAATATTGTAAGAATGTACTTTTGTTTTAATCCCAGGTGTAGTAATGTGGGCTGCTTTAGACTGTCCACAGCAGCTGAGTATCATTTGCCTCATGCTCTGGTAGAAGCATAGTTTTGCCAGCTGCAGATAAGTTTCTACAATTGTGTAATGTTTGGAATTCTGGGAACTTCTCAGAGAGAGTATAAATGCTAAGGCCCCAAGAGAAGGGGTAGGTAGTTGTTGGTTGTTTAGGGAGGTCGGCTGCAGTTTGGTAGTAGGTGTGGTCAAGGAAGAAACAAAAGGAAAGAAGTTAGATTCAGGATTTTCCTAATTCCTCTTTCCCTTCTCTCCTGTTTCTCTCCTATCTAGTGTTCAGGGATGAAACCCAGGGCGAGGGATGGGAGCGGGAATAAAGGATGAGAAAAAGAAGGACCCACAAAGTAGCAGTGACCAGCTACAGAAACACGGTTAAATTTCCTTGATTTCTGTAATTTTTTAGCAGCTTCTTTCATAGTAAAAGGACACCATGGAGTATTTACAACAGAAACCCTGTGTCCTACATAGCCCAAAATGTTTATTGTCTGACTTTACAGAACAAAGCTGGTAGCTTCTCGTCTGGGTCCACAGTAAACCTCTTTAGATACAATTTGAGAGAGGTGAAGTTTCAATCTGAATATAACTATGTTAATGAATCTTACCTACTGGGTTTTTAATCAATCAAAAATACATGGTGTAGATATACATAAAAGACAAGATGGCCATCATGGGAGGTTAGCTATTCTATCTAGACATGTTGATTGGATTAAGCCCTTGCAAGGCATTAGTTGCCTTTGAGTGGGGCCCAGCTATGACTGTTAACTGTGTGCAGAAGTGTGAGATCTCTAGGTCTACCACGTTCCTGAATTAAACCCTATTCTTGGTCCTTAAGGCTCTGCCTTGTAGCTGGGCCTGATAACTCAAGCTTAGAGTGTCAACTGCTCAGTAAGTTGAGGCAGGAGGATTGCAAATTGCAGACCAGCCTAAGCAATTTAGCAAGATCCTGTCTCAAAATGAAAAACCAAGGACTGGGTATGTAGCTCAGTTAGTGGGGTACTTTCCTAGCATGCACAAGTGCTGGGGTCCAGCCCTAACATTCAAGTACCTGGAGAAGGCAGTGATGGGCAGAGGCCAAAAGCTGATGACTTTTGGCAGTTTAATTCTCTCTTGCTATTCAGGAGTCTAAAGCTGATGGCTTCTGGAAGTTAACTCCTGCTGATAGCAGCAGGGGAAAAGAAACTTAGTTATTTGGGTTCTTTTTTCTTTGACTCAGGGACCTCTCACTGGCCAGGCAAGAGCTCAAGTTTGTTAAGTCTTTGTGAGTAGAGAGAAAAGGAGAGAGAGAGAGAGAGAGAGAGAGAGAGAGAGAGAGAGAGAGAGAGAGAGAGAG